TGATCACCTGTGCATATGTTCCAGGAGTGTGCCTTGAGTGTTTTGTGTATCCCCTTGTTATAGTTGAACATTAATTGCTTTTGCCACATCAGTGGTTGGGATTTACTCTCAGACTGACTGGCTATGAAGACTGGCTATGTCCACAGCATAAGAGCTGCTTTGTGGGGGCTGACCCCTCAGAAAGGTATTACTGGAGTGGGCTCTTGTGTGGTCTGAGGACAGCCTCTGGGTATATTATTTCTGGTACCTCTTGGGAAGAGCTCCATGCACACCAATTTCAGCCTTGCCTGTGATCAGCCGGGAGCTACCTGGTAGGAGCCACAAAGGTATATGCAGCTGGTTGCTGCCTCTATTGGACTTGGAGGCATGTGGGGGTGGCCTTGTCATGAATCAAGGCTAGCTGCTACCAGTATCAGGCCTGGGGCAGCTTAGCAAATGGCCCAGGGTGCCCCTTAGCCTGTTCCCACTTACCAGCTGCTCTTAAAGCTCATCCGCTGAGAGAGCCTCCTTAGGTGCATGGGCCAGGCCGGTTAACTGGGTGTTGACAGGCAATGACTCCTGAATTAAGTGTGGAGAAGTCCCAGGGAGTCGCAGGGTATAGCCAGTGGTTTTTACAAAGTTAATGTAGATTCAGTTCTTTTGCCAGTGCTGAGCCTGTGGTCACTCCCTAAAATTCCCTGAGAACACCACGGCCAGCCATCACTCACCTCGGGTCCACAAAACCCCAAAAGCAGCCCAAGAAAGTCTGCAGTGCAAGCTGGCCACCTGCCACCAAAATTTCCCCAGCCATCATGGGCCGTCTGCTGCTATACAAGCCTCCTGCAGCTTGTGGGGCAGGGCTGTCCACCCAGGAGCTGAGAGTGCCCCCAGTGATGCTTCACTAGCTGGGCCATATGGCTTCCAATGAAGTCATCTAGGTGGTGTGTGCATAGATTTTTACCAGACCAATGTGGTCTCAGATTTGGCTTTGGGGGGGTAGGTTCAACATGGGAAAGATGGTGCCTTTCTGTAGGTTATATGTGAGGCAGGCTCCAAAGAGGGATAATGGTGGCTCTCCCTCCAGCCCGCTCTCTGAAGCTACACAATTCAGTCTTTCCCTGTGTGTCTCTGGTGCCTCTTGAGTTGCTGCCCCTCTGCCATAGACCAGGGCATGTTTTTGCAAGAGAGCAAATCTGTGTAAGGGCCCTTTAAGAGGATGCTTGGGTTTCCAGTGGCCTTTTATCTCACTAGGATGGACAATCAGAATCCTCACTGATTTTTCACTGCCAGATGTTGTGGGGACTCCTCTTCCCAGAACAGGACCCCTGGACTGGGGAGCCCAGTATGGGTCTGCTGCCCCTCACTCTTCATGGGGGTACCTCTGCCACTGCAGTGTCCCTCCCAGTGCTCCACCACTACCTGTGGGTTTGGGGCCAGCCCAGTTTGCATTTCCACCCCTCCTACTAGTCTCAACATGGCCTCTCCTTTATATCCTTAGTTATAGGGGTTCTGTGCAGCTAAACTCCAGATGATTCTCGAGGTTGATTATTGTATAATATAGTAATTTTAATGTGATCATGGGAAGTAGCAGACATAGCTTTACCTATTCTTCCATCTTTGAGATCTATTACAAGATCCCTAAGAACTCGTCTTAAATAGAGTCTGTGTCTTACAACTTCCCAACTGTCATCTACTGTTATTACAGTGGAGTTCTGTTAATATAGTGTTAAGGAATGATGGAGCGGAATCATCTACAACCTTATGATTATATTTCATGCTTTTATTGAGTCCGTATTCCTGGGCTGTGACCTTCACAATTGTTTCTTCACTTTCTGCCTCTTATGTGAGACAGGAAGGCTACAGGGGGATGGAATCAGGGAAATGCTTTTCTCTCAGGTGCTTTTCACTGAAAAGTATGCAGCTGTAATGGAGAACTCTCTGCATGCATTTCAAAGTGGTTGTTTTTCCCCTTCCCTTGTCAGAGACATGAGGTGATTGTGTGTGTGTGTGTGTGTGTGTGTGTATTAGAGGTAAAACCCATGCAAGTGTGGGAACCCTTCCCAAGACTGCAGCCCTCTGATGATACTTACTCTCACTTTAGTCGGCTCACAAATTCCGACAACTTATTAAAATTACCACTTAAGTATTCCTACCAATTTATGGTTCCAGCAGATTCTGCTATAGGTAAACTGATCTTGACTAGGATTCTCTGTATTCACTTGTCTCTCCAGATTTTAGAGTGGTGGTTTGCCCTGCAACCTCAATTATCTGATAGATATAAGAATAGTCATTGATTTTCAGTATGTTCAGCCTCTTTCTTTTTGTAAGGATAGGAATAATGAGTTCCAAACTCTTTATTTGTCAGAGCTGAAAACTAAAAGCTATCTTTAAATTTATTTGAGCCAATATGTGTGAAGTGTTAGTTTGAAGGATTGCCAAATAATTAGGTATTTTTAGTGTTCCCACATTTCAAACAACCCTGGAAAGTAATAAAAGAAATTTAAACCTGAATCTCAGGTTAAATGCAGCCACTGAAGTGAAAATGATTCTTGTGAAAGCTGTGAGAGAAAGGAAAAAGATCCAAAGTAATAAATTTTGAAAACAAATTTGTGTTAATGTATCATAATAGTACAATTGAAAGCAACTGAATAATATAACAACAATCCAAGCCTTTGAAAGAAAAGATTTTGAATACAATATCTAATATAAACCCAATGAATAAGCAGAACAAGTAAGAGGTTGATTCTTTTCAAAACTGTTATCCAGGATTTTGAACAAGGCCCTCTAGCACTCAGGATCAAACATCTCATTCAAAACAGACGCTCTGAGCTAATGGCCCAAAAACTGAATTAGGCTTTTTGACATATGTTGTTTTTTAAAAATGAATGGGTTGCTGACTTTTAATGATTCATTGATTTCTCTAGAATGTCTGGATGCTCCAGAAACGCTTGGCCGATGTTGCCCCAAAGTAGCCTCTGCAAAAGCAGACCGGAGGATTGCCTCCTCCAGTTTGCCCCAGATGTCCTCAGGTCATCTCACTTGTTTCTGTAGCTGATCCTCCCAGGCATCTAATTTTATTTTCTAAACCAATTTATTAGAAGTTGAGGGGGGAGAAAAATCCCTACTAGATCTTTTATACAATTTGGAAGTCAGATGGAAATTCAGGATGTTGGTTACATTTCATTAACATGTCTATTAAGTTCACTTTTTCCATGGACAGTGTGCAATACACAACTTTAGTCCATAAAGAAGCACACATGAAGGCATTTCTATCAATTTACTTCATTTTGCAAGAAGTCTGACCACCTTCTGTAAATCCGTTTTGTAGACTTCAGATTCTGACTGATTCGGATATGGTCATTACTGCCACTATGTGGTTTATTTTGGAAGTACTTAAAAAGAAAACATTTAGTTAGAGATTTTGAATTTAAGGTTACATAATCTTGATATGTTTCCCTAGTTGCCATAGCCTCTGATATACTTTTCCTCAAGGATAATATCTAGTTAAAGTTTTTTTTTTTCAATCTGAATTCTGTGTGATTACATGGGAAACACACAGACACACACGTGCAAACCCACACACAAAAATATTAAATTCGAGAACTTTCCACCGTGTAAGCACATGGTGGAAAGTTCACAAACTTGTCAGGAATTTGTATGTACATACAAAATCTATATATGTATTCACAAAGCTAAATATATACATATACACACATACATATAGTTACAATATATGTATATGTGTTGATTGCATTTTCTTTATTTACACAAATGGATTCATATGCATATTTGTATACCTTGATGTTATTTATTTGTAAACATTTATACTGTTTCCAATTGTTCTTCTTTTGTGTTTGTTTTGTTTTGTTATTAAAAATTACACTGCTGACATACTCTGATGATTATATCATTTAAAACTTTTACAGTTATATTAATGATGGGAGTTCCTAGAAGTAGTATTCTGAATCAAAGAGTATGTATATTTAACATTTGGAACAGATTGCCAATTTGTACCCCAACAAATTCACACCAACTCTACTTTTCTCAAAATTTGTCTTTACTAGATATTCTTGAAATTAATTTTTCTATATTCTGATTTTCATCCCTTTACAATGAGTGCAGTTGTAAACCTTCTCATATGCATATTGCATATGTCTTCATTTTTGTGTGTGAAATTCTTGTTCCTATATTGAATATGAATATCCAAATTTCAATATCTCTGTAGTTTGGTTAGCATTCTAAAAATGTCATTTCTCAGGATAGTTTTCATCTGGAGCTTCTAGAAGAGAACCCTGCTACCCCTTGCTACCTGTTCAAGTGCCAAGTATCCAGAGTATGTTAAACTTGCCAACTTGCTGCCTGGTTAATATGCCATGTGATATTTCCCTTAAGGCAAAGTTTTTATTAATGTGTTATCTCTGTAGGTTTTCTGTAGGGTCCTGTGAGATATCATAGTCAAGGGTGAAACCAAGGGTTAATAACTATAAAGAGTGCAATGCTCACAGATTTCTCCTTGTAAACATGGTAAGAACCTGGTAACAGACTGAAAGAGGGAAACAGTGGAGAGTAGTGGACAGATATGCTGAACCAATATTCTCCATAATTTTGAGAATATCCTGAGTTTCACCCAATCTGCATTTATTAAATCCCTATTATTAGTAGTCAGCTACTAAATTTTTATATAAAATGTACATTGAATAAAACATAATTGTGTTTTTTGGACTGTGAGGCACAGCATTCCATGGATGTAGAAAGAAATGAGAAGACAGATTCAGGATACTAAAGTGAAGAATCCTTTTGAGTGGACCTTTTCTAATCACAGAGAGTTTGGGGGAAGGGGGAGAACATACTCAATGTGTGAGACATGGGATGCAAATGATGTTTCTATCATTCTCTTGATCAGGTGCCCAGTGGCAAGTTGCTGGCAAGTCCATGACTTTTCAGTACCTATCTGTAGTGTTATAGGCCGACCTCACCTAACTTACCCTCCAGCTCAACTTTGTGCGTATGATTTCCCACAGTATTCAAAGGCGGAAAGGCATCCTGTGACTGCATTGGAGAAAATGATGGAGTCGAGCTTTGCTGGCCCCCAGTCATTCCCAGAGGTCCCTTCTCCCGACAGAGGAAGCCAGTCTGTCAAACACCACAGGTACAGGTAGCTTATCATGATGGGAAGGGGCACATTCACACCAAGGATGACTCTGGACAATACATGCCAAGAATGGCAGCGGCATTCAGGAGAGGGGATGGTTTCTGCTTCTCGTGTAGCTCTTCATGGAGTGGATGCTCAAGCAGCTCACGGAAGGTAAACGAAAATACCAGCAGTCTGCAGTGCCCCTCTAAAGGAACTAGTAACAACACCCATCAAAGCTGCAGACACAGACCGGTGAAGGAAACAATTGCACTCTGAAAAACTATTAGAAACATGATTTTTCCCGGCCTGCCTTATCACTGTCTGCAAATTTAACAACTAATTCTTCCCTAGGCAGCTGATGTGACACACTCCGGGTCTTCCAACATGTTCTCACACAAAGAAAACTGTCCAGGGGGAAGAATCCTGGCAAATCTTCTCCTTGAGTCTGTAAGGTCTGTCATCAGTGGGGTGGCACTTTTGCAAGCTGACCATAGGAATTGGCTCTTTGGGTGAGAACATCAAAAATAATGTTATCTGATAAATTTCATGATATTCTGAGGCTGAAAAATTTTATCATCACCTTTTAGTCACATGCTGTGTTTTATCCACAAGGAATCTGGAGCTCCAAAAATTGAAAGTCTTTGTTCTAAAACAAGTGCCAATGTTTGGGACAAATGCTGGAACAGACATTATGTTTGTGTCATTTAAATGTATATCCTCAATATTTGTAGCAGTTGTCCCAAGATTTAAACTTCCTTTTCTTAGTGATAAGCACAGTATTTTAAAATTTAAAAACAATATGAAGAGACAAAAAAATGTTTAAAAGGAAAATGTAAGAAATAACAGTTGTAGCTGGCAATGAAAGATAAATATTGGTTTTCACATATCTAGGCAGCGTTTTGAAAACCACCATGACAGAAGCATGCATTATACAAGAAACTACCTTGTCCCTTGCCTCTCAATAACTCAAAAAAAAAAAGATTTTATTGATGCTGACACATTTATTATAAGGTTTTCTGGCACTCTCAATACTAATCTTCAGTACTTGATGGTGATTTTTATTCTTAGTCTACATGAGTAGAGACTGAGATATTAAAGGTTTGCTTTTTTTTAAAAAATGGTTTAAATATTTTCAACTCAGGATTGAAATGTGTTCTGCTATTGGATGGTTGTTTTAGTTATTAACTACAAGTTTTTGGTTTATATCAATTGAGGCGTTTGTGGATTTTTCTCCGTGAAAAAATCATTTCAGTTCACTGGAGCTAATGGAAGTTCTTTAATTAGGGAAATAGGTCCATAATTACCAGTCTTTTAGAAGATGGATATTTTCTCCAAAACAGTATTTTCCCTGCTGATTATAACACATGTTAAAGTGGTATTCCATCCAGTCAAGTAAAATCATTAAGCATAATATTATTCTAGTACTATATTATGCCATAAATGTTTTAAAGTTGAGATAAAAAAGAATTACAGCATCTAATGTATTTGAGCTGCAAATACCCTCGTCTGTTGATACACACACTCCTGAACTTGGCCTCTACCATGGTTTCAAGGGAATAAGGACATCGTTTAAAGAAACCTTTCTTTTTGTTTGGTTCAGTGACATTGCAGTATTTGTTGGCATACATTGTGTCCTGATAGATAGGCAAGGGTTGATTTATAAAGGGCTTCTCAAACTTTGTAAATTACAATTGAATATATCATAGCTTTTGTTTTGTAAAATATGCAGTTGACTTCAACGTTTTCATGATTGATAACCTGGTCACTGAATTATATAGCCTGCAAACTGCTCCATAACTTCCTGAATGCTACGGGGTTAGAAGGCTAGAATAGCTGATTGATCAATAGGTGGAGAACTCCTTTGTAAGATGGGTCACCAGTTCAGACTGGTAGACTTGCTGTTATGACAGTTTGGCTAGCTATGAAAAATTCTTTCTGTGCACTGCAAATACAACTCATTTGAATAACTCATTTCTGAAACAAAGCTATTAATTCAAAGCCATTATTTCTCGTTTTTAGTTCCCCCCGAAAAAAACCTCTTTCTTTTTTAAAGAATAAATCTATTATGTCAGGTCATACTTATTGCATTATATTTTGACAATGTAACACATTTGTAGACAGCACATATATAGGGTTTTTACAGTGAAATAAGTCCAGGGTTTTCATGATTTGTTTCATGATTGGTGGCAGAGGAATCAGGAGACTGAATTGTGTTGAGCACCTACTATGTGCCAGGCTCTGTTCTAGATACTATGCATACTTTATCTCTCTTAAGTTCCATAGCAATCCTATGAAAATACTCAAGTATCATGCTAATGCCTTTCTTTTGCACCTACTCCACCCATGTCTACTTTTTACCTTTCTCTGCCTTGCCCTGTGCACTAGGAGGGCAGCTGCTCCCTTGTGCTGTAGATTCTATTCAGAGTGAAGTGCCTGCAAGAGATGGTGGGTGGAGGGGAGAGTGAGGTTCTAGCACTCCTGCCCCCTCTCCCCGCTTGGCTGCCGCAGCTGTATCCTTATTCCTGGGGCCAAAGTGCCTCCAGGTTGTCCTCTCTTGCAACCCCTTTCTCCCTCTATTATGATAACTGCTCCCTCCGCTTGTCCCTTCAGTTATAGGGATAGTAACAGCTTCCCATTGTTACTAGTCCTGACATGCAATAGTATCCTATATTGTTTGTTTGTTTTTCTCAAACATTGAACACACCTTTGTAAATGGCAAAATTTCCCCAAATGACTGAATTTAGAGTGCCATCTATTTTTCTTCAGGACTCTGACTAGTACTAGTACTTCCCCCAGTGTCACGCTGCTATAACGTTTAGACCTCAGATGCATACCCAGATTCAGCTAATTCTAGTACCCTTGCCTGAGCACCCCATGGAGTCCATAATTGCCAAGGATGGTATAGACAGAAGCTGGAAGGGAGGGAAACAAATAAGCTATTTAGATCTCCTTAAACTTGTTGGCTTAATGAGCTTACTAGAAGTTCCTTGTTAGGCATTTTGGGACTCAATATACAAGAGATATCATGATAAACAATAAAGCTGTAATAACAATGCCAGTTACGATCTGGTGTTTGCACAAACTCAGGAAGTCAGTGTTGGCTTGAGGAATATGAAGTTTGATCAGTCTCCTTGCCAAAACCAGGAAAGCGGCTACTAGCATTCAACTGTCAGCGTCTCAATCTCTGACCTTAAATAATATTTGAGAAGTTTTGTTTCATATTTATTAAGTAGAAATAACAGTAACATTGGTGGGGGGAAAGTTACAGAACTCCAGATAATAAAGTGATATGGGTACAATTCCTTTGGGGGACTAGTCCCTTTAGAACTTGATAGGTTTACTGAAATTTTGAAAATGTTTTTCATCTTTCCCCATATGGTTTCATGTGGTTTGACCAATAAACCGGCATCTCATGCAATGTGTACACAGGAACAAAGCTCTCCTCGCTACTCCACATGGGTGTAGGGTAAATTCAGTGGGGTGGAGATGGGAGTTGATATTTATGTTTTTTTGCCCTTTGATGGCATCTAAAAACATGGTTATTTGGGTATTTGGGTGTATGAGTCAAAATGAGGTATATAATCAGATGTTTAGTAAAAGCCAACTCAAAAGAAAAATAATTTAGCTTCTCAAGACTGATGAAAATTTGAGGGAGTGAACTGAGAATTTAGTACATATGTTAAGGAGAGAATGCCAATTAACATAAGGTTTGTTTATTCTACCACTAACACAAGTGAAATTGTCCCCATAATTCTCTTCAGGGTTTCCTGTGTTTAGTTCTTGTCTACTAATAACACCATTTTTCTCTTTATTAAAGAAACAGCTACTATAGCTTGGATAATGAGGGTGGATGGGAGTCAGGAGCTTGAGAATTCCTTAAGCCTGCCTTTTATTTTGGCTGGAAAGCTGCAATTCTGAGCATTTTAGTCTCTTATTCTCCAACATGGGAAGCCAGAGACACAGGACCTTCTCTTTGCCTCAGTCTCTCCAAGGTGAAAATGGATATAGCAACTTCTGATCCCCTCCTAGCAGACAGATTGCAGTCACCGATGGAGGATGGAGTGGGCCTGGCAGTTTGAGTGGGGTGTAAATGCAGTGTTGGCAATGTCTGAAAGACACCTGTGAGGTTATTGCTGGATCAATTTGTTTGTGGGTTTTCTTTCCCCCAGCAGGGGCCTCTCCTCGTGCTGCAGCCCAGGACAAAGGGGTGGCATGCTGCATAGGAATGCCTTCAGAAGGACACCACCCTTGCCCCGAAGTCGGCTAGGCGGGCTTGTGGGACCAGCATATCAGCAGCTTGAGGAGTCAAGGATCCCAGACCAGGATACCGTACCTTGCCAAGGGTAGGTCTTAAAAGCAATGGAAGTTAAGGAGGGTGCCATGAATGCTATAGTTTTAAGTTGAGTTATGCTCCTTGTGGTTTTATTCACTGATTGCATCATCAATTGGCTACTTATATCTTTGCTCCACAAAGGTAAAATAACTTAAAAGAATAGGTATCTGGGAAATATTAGATGGAAAAGAAACAACACTAAGAAGGAAATAAGTGTATGTAGGTATCTAGGCACTATGTTATTATATAGTTGCTAAAACAACTAGGAACTTGCCATTGATCAAGCACAGTAGAGATTTCGTAGGGGGACTAAGGTGGTCCTTCATCCTTGGATTTTAAAAAAAGTACTTAGTTCTCTGATCAGTTTGGGGACAATACCCTAAACAATAACATGAAATACACATACTTGTACAGTACCTGCTGCTGTCGAGCATTCTTAGCAGGTCTCAGTTAATGTTGGCAGCATACTGTCAAAATACAACTTGTTGAACTCAGATTTTTAGTTTCATTCATGGTGCAGGGGTGGAAAGATGGGCTTTGGACATGACGTCTGCTGCTCATCCTTGCAGAGCAAAAGGTGTCCCTTCCTTTGAGTGGACACAGGCACTCACAGGACTCATGACATGGTGAGTGGAGCATAGGATGAATTCTAGTCACCATTCACCTGGTTGACATATTGTTCAACCAAACATGGCAGCTCTTGCTTAAACTGATTCAAATCTCATCTTCCCCTTACTACTTGTGTGAATTTGAGGAAGTTTTATCATCTGAGCTTGAGTTTTCTCATCTGTAAATTGAACAAAATAATACCAGACTTCCTGAAGGTTGTTCGGCAGCATTTTGTTTTGTTTTGTTTTTTAATTACATGTATAAAGAGCTGGTACCTGTTACATAGTAAGCAAAGAAGCAGTACTAGTATGTATTGTTATATACATACTAGTATATAACTGTTATAGAATTGTCACTAATTTCAAGAGCAAAGCAATCAGGGTTCACTCCATAAATTTCAAGAATCGGTTCCCTCACACAAGCCAAGTTCTCATTACATCTAGTTTGTATCTCTCTGGGTGAGCCAGACCAGGTTTCTGTGCTGCTTTGGCCTGGGTGATTTTTTCTCACTGTGTCAAGCTGAAGGCCAAAGCAGGTAAAAGGCCCATCACAGAGCCTTGCTTGTTCTTTTCTTCTGGGCAAGATACACACACACACACACACACACACACACACACAGAGAAAGTTTGTGAACTTAATTGTTCAACCTTTCATATAAATATATTTATATATATGTATATGTATATGTATATGTATATGTATATGTATATATATGTATATATATATATACACACACACACACACACACACACACACACACACACACAGAGCAGTGCCCTCTTTGACAAAGATCAGCAGTAGATTTCTTTAGGAAGAGTAGAAGATAAGAAATAAATAGACTGTGGCTGGGTTTTATAATTTTGAAGCGATTCCAAATGGACTGTAAAATGTATTAGGTAAATATCTGGGGTGACAGTTACAAATGCAACATAACAGCCAAGTTGCCCAAAATGTATAATGCAAGTCAACAAGCAGTTGGCATTTTGTTTGCCTTATATCTGAAAAGCGGGCTTTTACTTAGCCAATCAGTAGAATTAATCATGTTTCATAATTACTTTTCTTCTTAAATCACTGATAATGTCTGTTACATGGCACTAGTCTATTTGTGAGTGGAGGGAGGACCCAGCCCATGCTGTCTTTCTTTCTGTTGGGCACTGTGATGGTTCCCATCCCATATGTCCCAGGTCTAAGGATGCTCTGAGCCTGTGCCGGGCACAGACTTGAACCATACATTCAGGAATCCTTAGGGGCTCCAATTCCCATTCCATGTTCAGGCACTGCTTTTTCTTTGACTCCTGGGAGACTTGCACTTATTGTCTGCATGGTGGTGGTTTTGTTTTTGACTCTATCATTATTGGGATTGGAATATTCTCTCCAGCTGGCTGGCCATGTGTATTTTCCTGTATGTGATATGTACCCAGGGTTGATAAATGGTGACTCTAAGTGTAAGTCACTCTGTGCTCAGCACCATGAATCTCAGGGAGCAATCTCATTCTCAGTTCTTGCAAACAGCTCTGTTCCACTCCTGGGGGACCGACCATCTCTCCGGACTGGAAATAGGATTGGTAATAGAAGGCCCTCTTCAAATCTGGCCCTAGCCTGGGTGGCGGGGGGAGGTGGTGAATGAATTTACAAGAGCCATGAGACATCTGCTGCTTGTTTATCAAGCATGTGGGCTGTGTCTGCTAGTCAGGCTTCGTGTGTGACTTCTATCCTTGGCACTGACTTCTGCTGAGTTTGAACCCAGCACCTACATTAGTGAAGCCTGAGGAAGGAGTAAGGTGGGCAGGAGATGACTCAGGAGACTTTCCCCTGATCAGTGGAGTGGTGACAACCATGGCACTGACTCACAGAGCTTTGAATTGGGTTATATCAGGCAAATCAAACTAACCTATTCATATGTTAGACAGAAAGAAATAGAATCACAAAAATTTGAATCACATACAAAAAAGTAGATTACCACCTTAAAGTAGAAGCCATACAAAATATATTGATTATCTACCTCACGTAACTATTAATAGCAACTTTACATACTTCTTGATTCTTCAGAAGCTTTAGAGATGAACCCACTAAGGATAGCAGAGATTAAGTGGCCGGCCAAGGTGGGATATATCATGTAAAAGAACTGAGACTGAGGACTGGCCTTTCTGACTAAATAAACCACTAAACCAGAAAAAGAATGTGAAGAAAATCACATTCCTGGATGAGGATGTGTAAATGGAAGCTCTGGTTGTATGGCTTCAGAGGAAAAAGTGAATTCCTTCCCTTTAGTCAGTTCATTCTAATGCCATATGCACTAGGAACTGAATCTTGGAGTCCTCTGGGGAAACACAAATTCTTTGGCCTGACCCCTAAATAACTGGGAATAAAACCAAGTCAGTAACTGTTGGAGTCTTTCATCTTTAAAAGAATGTTTTGACCTACATAGTTACCGAGGAAATGCACTTATGATTTCTTTGTTGAGGGCTCAGAGGAAGGGCAGTCCAAACTGGTGTTTTACAGTCGATGAATGACAAGCTCAGTGATCATACTTGTGAAAGTGTCATTGACTCTCAGAGGATGCAGAATTCTGAGTGTCTTCCAATTCAGAATCACATGTAGAAAAGTAGCCCTCACTGAAGCTTCTGGAAAGTGGTGTTCCGCTTCTACTCAACCAGTGTTCAGACACTGACAGCAACTCTAGGAAGGAAGGGAGGACTAGTCGTGTGTGTCTGGTTGAATAGCACAGAGGCATTACTTCACTTAGTCCTCAGAGCAATCCCCCTAGCTGTATTGCTACGTGATTGTTTTATTATAATTGATGGGGAAATGAAAGTGAGGCTGCAATTTGTCTAAGCATGGCATTAGGACTTGAAGTCATGTCTGATCCAAAACAAAATCACGTTTTGGAGAGTTCTAATTGTTTAAAGTGCATCTTCATGTTATGGTCACATTTTAGATTTCAGTCATTTCCAGCCTTGTGTCCCATACCTGGCTTGTGAGGTGACACATACGTCAGCCACAATTCCTCTTTCTTATCTAAATCCTTAATTCAACACTTAGGCATGTTAGAAAACTGCTCTGAGTTTGGTTTGAATTGCCTCTGATCACATAGTCATGCCACATGGTTGACTTACTGAGTCTACAGTTGACTAAATACTCCAAGATATTCTTACACCTTTATCCAACATTTTTACAAATATGTTCAGATCTAGGTATAAGAATTTGCACATGTCACCATCACATTTCAACCTATTAGATTCTATCCACTGATATACTCTGATGATATCTACATGAAATACAACCATATCTAATTATATTTTTTGGCTCTGTGCTGTTGATAAATCTGATATCAGACATTCTATATCGTCATACATTCTAATAGTGTTAATAGGATAGTGCTAAGGACAGAATACAAAAGCTTGAAATACATTTCCTTTTTTCTTGTTGAAACTGATTCATTGATCAAAACCCTTAGGCTTAGATTTTCAGTCATATAACACTAAAGAGAAGGGTGAGATCCCCTGGGGAGTTTCTTAAATACAGTTTGCACAGGTAAAGGTTCTATATCCTTTAAGAGGTGTTCTGTTACACCTTGCATGCCCACTCATTTTCGGCTTTGACGATAATGAGTAAAATAAGACAACTTGGGTTTCACTTTTTCCTCTGATGCTTACTAAAGGTAATTTGGGACAAATGATTTGAATACCCCTTGGTCTAATTTATTTATCCGTTACATGGTAATAATGATAAATAAACCACACAGTTTTGTTTTTTTAATTCAATAAGGTAATTAAAGATGAAAATGCTTTTTAAAACCACTATGCAAATGTTAGCTCTCATTATTAAGTTTGAAATGGACACTGACTGGAATATTAAGGAAGTGTTTACCTTTAAGATCTGTTTATGTGTTTATGCATCCATTCCATCAAGATTTATTGGTTGCCAACTCTGGACTAGGCACAATAAGAGAGGATCGGACTACAACAACACCTAAATTTGTTCCCCATCTTCTTTCACTGTCTAGTGCAAAGACAAACCTCTAAATTGCTCCCATCACACCTTACAGTAAAGACTTCTATTTATAACAGTATGCTACACACTTCATTACAATTATTCTTTCTGTATGTAAACATGACTTTTATTTATGTTACAATGTAAGACTAGGGGAATGAGATTTATTATATAGAGGGTGGATTTGTTTAGATGATGTTTAAATTGCAATGGTTAATTTAATGTTTAAATTAAGGACAAATAACTGAGAAATAGAATAAAGACTATTGTTGAAGTACCCAAACCACATGAATGTACAATAAATACGCGTGCCAATTTCTGGCACTGAAAAGTTCAGAGGCACTGAGAAATTCACTAGCTCTGAACAGGCAAGAAAGGGGCTAGCCAGATCCTGCCATATTCCAATGACGTGGAATGGCATGTTGGTTGGCATTCTTGACAAGCCGTTTCCATGCACCGATGGCTCAAGAAACTATGTGAACAAAGGTGCTAGACCGGCAGAGGCCCCATTGAACTCACCTCATGTTCGTCCCTGGGTAGATGGAGGAATTGTATGCCTCCTGTTTCCATTTTTCTGCTCAGCAATTTGTAGTGAGGCAATTCCTACAGAACAGAGTTCCAATAGAAATCAGATCGGTTCCCCTAAAGTCAGTGTGAAGCAGAAAAACTCAGGACTGTAGTACTTCGATGCTTACTGTTGGGCTTCCTGATTCCTCCAACTAGGGTGGCCACGTGCACCCACTGGATTAAACCAGGGCTGAGAGGGTGGTCAGATTGATGGAGTGGAGAAATGCCATGATAGGTTTCCTGTTTGTCACTATGGAAAGGCCACACTTACCTGCTCAATCCCCATTTACTTTGTATTCTAGGGTAGAGGTCAGGAAGACTATATCCCACCTGCCTATACAGCTGTGGTGTGTTGAAAGATCCCTGGACTTAAAGTAAGAAGATCTGGGTTTGAGTCTCAGTCTGTCACTTATTTTCTGTGTGACCTTGGGCAAGTCACTTCACCTCTCCAAGCTTCAGTTTACTTCTCTGTTTAACTGGGAACATATTATCCGTCTGATGGGGTTGCTGTGAGAATTCAGTGACATGGTGCATGTGGAAAGTGCTTTGTTGACTGGATAGTGCCCTAAAGGAGCACTAGCAGAAAGAAGAATACATAACACTTTGTTTCTTTTCCAGGTATCCGTCTAATGGTTTAAAAACCCAACAAAATGCATCAATAAATATGCAACTGCCTTCAAGAGAGACAAACTCCTATTTTAATAGCTTGGATCAAAAGAACTTGATGGGGTATTCATCCCCGAGGGCCAGCTCTGTGCCCATCATCCCTTCAGTGGGTCTAGAGGAAACCTGCATGCAAATGCCAGGGGTTTCTGAAGTCAACAGCATCAAATGGTGCAAAAACTCCTACTCTGCTGACACTGTCCGTGTGAGTATTCCCATCAGCGACTGCCTCATAGCAGAACAACAAGAAGTGAAAATACTGCTAGAAACTGTCCAGGAGCAGATCCGCATTCTGACTGATGCCAGGCGGTCCGAAGACTACGAACTGGCCAGTGTCGAAACGGAGGACAGTGCGAGTGAAAACACAGCCTTTCTCCCCCTGAGTCCCACAGCCAAATCAGAACGAGAGGCACAATTTGTCTTAAGAAATGAAATACAAAGAGACTCTGCATTGACCAAGTGACTTTGAGATGTAGGAATCCGTGCGTTCTATGCTTTGCTCAACAGGAAAGAGAGGAAATTAAATACAAATTATTTATATGCATTAATTTAAGAGCATCTACTTAGAAGAAACCAAATAGTCTATCGCCCTCATATCATAGTGTTTTTTAACAAAATATTTTTTTAAAGGGAAAGAAACGTTTCAGGAGGGATAAAGCTTACAACTAAAGCTTTGGGGGAGAATTCTGAATACAATTTCAGTCCGTCCCAACACTGTCCTCTTTGGCTTTTAGTAGATGTGGGCGGTTCAGACCCTCAGCCCCCCAGCGCCAGTGTCCTCAACCAAAAGCACTGGCCTTTCCAGGCTTCAAAGAGATGAGCTATATAGCCTGAGGCCGACATGCCGATGAGCAGGCGGCCCTTGCCGGTTGGCTTGACTGTCCCAACCCCTAAATTTCTCTTCACTTGACAGCCTCATCACAGGTTATGTCATGTCAACAAATGTAGTATTTTCTATTTAATTTTTGAAGAATGACACAAAGACTCTGGAAGGAGAAGGAAGACAGGAGAGAGAGGGAGTCATTGGGGACCATCTTAGCTACTCTTACGTGCCATCTTCCTCTGAGATTTGAAAGTGCGGAATCTCAGAGGGAGATATGAAATTCTTATAGAAAAAGGGACAAAAAAAATCAAATGTCGTGTCACTAAAATCATGCTGATAGAAATGTTTTTCTTTGAGAATGTTTAGGGGCTCTGAAAGAGCATTTTTCAGCGTGTGTATGTGTGTGTGTATGTGTGTGTATGTTTGTGTACGTGCATGTGAGAGCATGTGTGTGTGTATACATGCATGTGAGAGCATGTGTGTGTGTGTGCGTGTGTGTGTGTGTGTGTGTGTGTGAGTGTGTGAGTGAGCTCCCTTGAGCACTTGAACACTGGTATGCTGTATGCACATGTGTTTATTGTGAGTATGTGTGTGCATGTGTGTGCGTATTAAGCTTGCTAAAATTTGTTCTGAAACATCAGGGAATCTAATATTCAGAAAAAAATTTCCCTCTTAGATCTGTTCACTTAAAATTTTTCCATTAACTATAAAGTTCAGTTAGTAAGTTCTTAAATCAGGGTCACTTGCATGGTGAGGTCCTATAAAACTCTTGACAATGTCTAGATCATTTTCTGATGTGAATACTTCTGACAAAAACTATAGACTCATTGATGATATCCGTATCACAAGGTGAGTTGAGGATGTGTGTTTATTTTGAATCACGCGTACTTAAATTATTTACATAAGCCAATGACCAAATTGACAGTTACCCATTGCTTTTTCATCATCCTCATTACCATTTATTTTGTAGCAAGTCTACAATGTGTGGACCAAGACATTGGCTTCTGTGGTTAATATGGAAAGAATAAATTGTTGAAATCACAAAGCCCAGAGTATCAGTTCACAGGAAGCCCCCAAAAGAACAGTAAATTGTGTTGTATGTTCATTTGGAATAAAGCAATATTTTTACCACTCCTGAGGTGAACTGAAACTTCTCCTGAAGATTTGTCTGTTTTATTTACCCTTAATTTCCTGGGGCATTCAAGGAAATTAGTGTTCACATAACCAGTTTTTTTCCAATTATTGGTGTTGTTGTTATGTTTACACTGTTTTAAATAAAAAGGCACAGTATTTGAAAGTATATAAAAGATTTCTTTTACTGCAGTTTGGGAAAACTTTAGTTAAAATTTCCTTGTGGAATATTCACATTCCATTGAAAGAGACTACATTTCTGAATCAAACACTGAATACATACAATGCTTGTTTAAGGTTAAGTTGTTTCTGTTGAACATACATTGCAAATTGCTCTTTGAGAGCATTCTTTAATAATAGACATGATGCCATACAGGGGGACAAAAGAACATAGTGTTGTTTTTAACATTGTTTAATGAAAATTCAAGGTCTCAAATGTTGAAAACATTTTGGTAGATTCAACAAAAGGTTCGTGATATTCATGAGTTGTTCCATTATAGTTCCATTGTTTTGAATATAGAGACAATATTGTTAGCCTCTTAAAGGATGATTATACATTTTTAATTTCTAGTTCAACTACATTCTCATTTAGAAATGTTGTATCCTTGGGAAAATATTAGAAAGATGGTCTTAATTAACAGGAACATAAAAACCCCATAAGTTTCATATGAAATATGTGATTGTGTTGCAGTTTATCACAGTTATCAAACATTAATTGGAAGGCTTCACAAATTTGCTGATGCCAGCCTTGTTCATGGGGTTTTCACTAGAATGTTCCGTGTTGCTTATCGGAAGGATCCATACAGAATTTACCTATTTAGGAGATTATATACTCTGTGACTTGCTGCAGTAATTTTAATATATTTACTCTGAAAAGTTTGAAGATTATCAGTAAAAAGTAAGTCCTGCTCCAACCCCATATTTTTTTTTAAGTAGAACCATATATGATGTGATTATAAACACCCTGTGTGTACTGAAGGACGCGAACATCTAAGGCACACCCACTGGCAGTCTGATATGAAGTTTACAGAGTTACTTCCTAGCTGATCGTCAAGACAAAATCCTCCATAAAGAATAAATACTAATGGTTACTTTCAGTGGCCCTTTGTCTCCTTTTGGAACGTGAAGCTCTCTGAAAAAGATCCAAGTTCAAAATGCGTATTTTGGGGCACCAGCAGTCAAGTGCTGAAAGCATCAAGGCGTTCAAAGTTGATCTAACATGGGCAACACCTGGGATCCTTTGTACCTGTCCTACTGGCTCATGTGCCTACAGAGAAATGCTTATTTCTAAAAGACACCTTTGATTTTGCTCCGTTTTCCTTGTCTTTATTATGTAAACAGGTATATAAAGATTTGTAATTAAGTAAGTTGTATATTTGTTATTTACAGGAAAATGAATGTCACACATTATTTTTCCTTGGGATCATTTCAGACTATTTTTAGAAAGCATATGTTATTCTAATTGGCCAGTGACTGTGGAACGCTGTTGTTCAAAATATGTGACTAATTTCATGCTAATGAGAAACAGTAGAAATGATGTTGGATAATTGGCAGCCACATTTTCTTCCTGATTTTCCTATGCTCATTACTAAATGCTCTGTTTGGCCAGCCGGGTGGCTCAGTTGGTTAAGAGCTCCCTCAAGGGTTTGAGCTCTGAGCAACAGTGGTTCGATTCCCGGCCCCAGCTGAGCAGTTGCTGAGCTGCCAACAGGTGGCAGGATGGCTCAGCTAAAAAATAAATAAATAAAAATAAAAACTAAATGCTCTGTTTGACACTCTAGTCCAATATCTACCTTGCTATGGGTGAAAGACTAAATATTTGTAAATTTCTCTCATCTCTAATGATTTGCATCATTTCTAAGTAGCAACAGCACAGTCTTCTGGAGCAGGAACAGTGGTGGTTTTGGAACTTCACAAATTAGTCTGTTTTGATCATAATCACATATCAGACCTGCCAAAAGGAGAAGAGAAGGGCCAAACAGACGTCAACAGAATGCCCACTGGCTTCCAGATTGAATGACAGTTACAAAAATGTGAGTCCTCTGGGAACCACATCTAAGCCTGTCAAAGCCTCTGGGGACCACAGCTAAGCCTGTCAAAGCCAGGTGTCCCGCAGAATGTTCTCGATGCCTGCAGCAGTGGTTCGCGACTACCCTGCAGTTGGTGCTACAGGAAACCATGACTCTCTTAGCAAGGGGAATAGTGGGTCCTTTGATTCTAGCCCCATAAATCAGAAAATATTACCCTGAGACATGTGCTGTGAAACATTTCCCAAGAGAGTGTGTGGTACACCTAGGAACACAGCAAGTGGGGTGGGATTTTTATTTGATCTTTTGGTAGCTGGGGAAAAATTTTTATATATGAAACTACTTTTGTATTATTATTCAATTGTATAAATGCAGTGCAGTGTATTCAATGATAGCGTGTCTATACTGTGTTTGTACTTTAGTCTTCAGAAATTCAGTCTTCATCCAGGAAAAACCTGTACAATGTTTCTAGGCTGTTCTCAATTATAAATGCTTCCCAATATTTCGTGGGCAATGAGGCCTTTAAATAAGCTTTATCTCTCTTTTATTCTTTCTTTCCCTTTTAAGCTAAAATGAGGGTAAAGCAAGAAATTCATTCCTTAAGGTGCTCATTGTTCTCTTATTATAATGTGTTTCCTACTGTTATTACACACACACACACAAACATATGTGTATATAAAATACATGTGTATATTAAATTTAGGCGCTGGATTATTTTGGTAGCTTTATTTTAGCTTAATTTGACAAACATGAAAGTGATTGCCTCATGGAATGCCAATAAAATCAAACCATGTAGAGATCAGCCAACTTGGCAACATTTAGGTGAGACAGGCATTTTTCAGTTTTTACTTAGGTAAGCAGAAATATCCTCAGGTTGGAAAATTCAAGAGCCCCTGAAATAAAATCTCTGCTAGATTATCTCTTAGATATGAAGATTACACTGTGGGTGTATATGGCTGCTATCCCTAGTGTGTATGATGATGTCAATATATTTTTTACAAATTAAATCAACTTCTCCCAAAGGTCTCTAAACAGGTGCCTCTGACTTCCAGTACCCACTGAACTCTAGTGAGGAGCTGAGGTCAAGGTGGAGTGTCGGGGGGTGATTACATGGTAATGTTGGATACCCAGTGAAGATGTGAAGTTAATAGCAGAGGTAAGGACAACTAGAAGTACTAGGCTTCCAGTACTTTGATAACTTTTTGTCATGAATACCTGTCCTGATTGCACATGTATGTTTGACTATAAAAGAATTGTGTGATAGCAAACAATCTCTTATTGTTGGAAATGAATTAGAAACAATCTTGATATTGAAAATCGTCGCTGTGAAAGCTTCTAACTCATCTATCCATAATAGTAACTCCATGACCCCATTTGTCAAATAAGGAGGATGAATCTAGTTCATCTTCGATTTCCTTCCCAGTTGAATACCCTATTATTCAATCATTCTAACTCAGACATTACCCGGTCATTTGTCATCCAATCATTTCAACACGAATCTTTAGAAAGTTAATGGCTCTAAGTGTATCTCTGTAAGACTCAAAAATGATTGGAATCTGTGTATGAATCTATGAATAAGACTTACATTTATAATGTTCTGTTTAATTTCCTTGGAGAAATAGACAAGATCATTTCTGTGATTGTATTTAAAGTAAATTTACCTAGGACAGGTAATCAAAATGAAAACTGGGCAAAAAAAATACCTGATTTCAAAGCTCAAGCATCAGAACTTTCCCCAGATATTTGGGTCAAAATTTGCCACAGATTTTTTTTTTCTTCAAGAAATTGCATCCTGTGAACCTTTATCAAAGTCAGAGCAAGGGAGTCTGCAGAGAAAGCATGAGAACTTAAGAATGTTCTCCTCTCACAGAGGCAGTGACACATTCTCATTGGATACACAGGATATTTATTGATATTGTCAATTATTTGCATCTCAAACTCATTAACATAAACTCTCCAATTAATAAATAAGTTCTCGGGAGACACCTTCACATTATAGTCAGAAATTATCCTTTCTTTGCAGGACACAACAGACTAAAAAATGTAGGGTTTACTTACTTATTTAATTTTGGTTGTAATTGCTGTTTTTGACAAATCAATACCTATTTGCTGTTCCACTAACATCCTGACTGGCACTATTCTTCCATATATAATTTATCATCATCAAGATCCCAAAGTCTGAATTCCTTAGAATTCGATACAACCATGCAGGATGTTAAAATACTTGAATTAAAAACAGTAAATCTTTTAAGTTGTGTTGTTTTTTAATATTATAAGGATTCCATGTAGTTGTTTATAAACTTGAAATAGAAATATAAATTCACATTTGTAAACTTGTTGTTGATGTCCTTAGAAGGCTGGTGAGCCCATCTTACAACCTTGTTACACTTTACATTGATACTCCTTTCTGAAATCAATTTAAATTTAAGGGCTTAACAATCTCACACATGTGCGCACACATAGACACAGCATAACACACATGTTGTGTTAAGACTCAGTGTTTATTCCTTTTCCTTAGACCTTTTTCCCCTTACAGCTCACCTAAGTGTGTCAAACTCATGACATGGAAGTCCTTCAATTCAGATATGTCTCATAGGAAATGAATGTGGCAGGAAGATATAGTGATTATATTTTAAGGTTTGTTCTCTATAACCAGCTTTTGAATCATGTCTTTATTAATAAAAGTGTGGAGAAGAAACACATTGGTTCAAATTGAAATAAGTAGAAGAACATAAAACACCATCAAATCACTACACATTTCCCAGCGACCACTGTGTATATTTAAAGATAATTAGAGGAAAATGCCTGGGCTCTCTCTTGTTTTTTAAAGTGTGCAATTGTACACATTAAATCTAAATAAAAAATATATTCCTAGTTCTTAATAATTAAAATATTTATTAACCTATCTGACCATATTTTAAATAAAGAATTTAAGTCACACACAGAAGAATTCATGCAAAATGGTCAGCAGAATATTTTTAGTTGTCAGTTTTTAAAACTTTACTAGAAAAAATCTTTTGTGCCTGTGATAAACATTTTGTTTCAAGGAGTATATAAGTATCTCCTTTATCTTCTTCCAAGGAAACATTTCAAAATGATGTCCTATGGGAAATAACGCTAAATGCATGTCCTTCAGCACCCAGTTATATTGAGTTCCATTATGTTTTGTTTCAGGAAAGATATACTTCTTATTAAAAATTAAGATATGAATTTAATAATGACTTTAATAATAATCTTGTCTTTGTCACATAAATTTTCATCTGTAATGGGAATCCTTGACTACCATTTCCCTGTTGTACCTTCTCTATTTTTTTTTAGATTTTTATATTTTATGTTTATTTAATTTATTGGGATGCCACTGGTTAGTAACACTGTATAGGCTTCCAGTGTACGTTTCTATAGTACATCATCAATATGTTGCATTGTGTGTTCACCACCCAGTAGCCTTTGATGAAACTGGACACTCAGAATCCCTTAGATTGGGTTCTTACTACATGTTCCTCTTATTTCACGTCCCTTTTATTAAACAGAGAATTTTCAACTAACTGAGAAATCAATGTGATTTTGTAGAGGAAAATAGCTTTGTTCTTTTGAGTTGTGCTAGTGGAGGAATAAACTAGGAACGTTTTAAATCTAAGTGATAATAAGGTTCGTGACTTTATCCAATATCTTCTCTCTCATATACAGACACACCCCAGGGCCCTTTAATTTTCCTAATATTGTTAACAAGACTTTTCAACCTTCTTGTTATTGTTTGTAACAACAGTGTTTTCCATTTTGTAAGAGACAAAGGCAAAATCAACTATTTATGTAAAAGAACAAAACAACAAATAAAGCAATCATCCTTTAAACAATGAGTAAAAAACAAGCCAATAATAATATTTTTAATGAGTTTAAGTAAAATGCTAACTGACTAAAAATCAAATCTAAGGCAAAAACAATATACAGAAATATTAGGCAAATGGTTTGCATTATAAGGTTTCTTTTGCATAATTCTTTGCTGTAAACTGGACTCTTCTTTCCATAATGAGACCTCATTTTGTAGAATTTCTATTGGGCATTAATTATGCATATTAAATACAAACATTTAAATATACAAAAATGGCCACTTTTGACATTTCTTCTAAATAGACACAAAGTGTATAATAATTTGCGTGGAAGATGAAAAAAGTACAGATTTGTAAAAAGAAATTATTAATCCATCTTATTTTCTCATTAACAGCTTTCACTGAATGCCCCCATAGTTTAAGCTAAACATAGAAGAAGTTTCTGACTCAAATAAGAAGTTTCTGACTCAAAAAAAAATGTTGCAAACATTTTGAAAATTAAAATGTGTAATATAGATATAAGGATTCGCAGTCTTCCTTGGACCCAAAGAACCCAAACAAGTATACAGTACAGTTTAAGGAAGGGGGCATTCTTTTGTTTAGAAAACAAATAAACAAAAAGAGCTTGTCCTGCAGGCTCCATCCATGCCAACTAAAAAAATGGATAAGCATTACTGTGAGTCTTTTTGTCCAGTGAAAAAGAAGAGATAGACACACCTGATGCCATAAACATTTGCACAATAAATAGTTAGAT